GGCGGTGATATCTCGGCCTGGGCTTCCGTTACAACATGCTTATCTTTGTCGGCATATATGTGCGCATGCAGGAGAAGGTTACCGACAAGGAATCGGAGACTGAAATGGTCTTTCGTGGCTTATTAGCCGTCGTCAGGCAGCCCTAGCTAAGCCCAGGCTTTTCGGCGCCTGAGCCTCGATCTCACATTCCTTTTCTCGCAAAGCGTTTATAACTCCAACTTCCGAGCTATTGCGCCGAGGGTTCTTGGTCCCGTTTTGTTACGGTCACGTGACTAGTTATTGAAGACCGCGTTAAAAGCTCTGGCAGAAAGTTGCGGGTTCGACTTCCTATGGGCTTTGACCTCTCTCACACATTTGGGGCCTTTCAGCCTTCTGAAACCAGTGGACCAGTGTGTGCCAAAATCTGTCCGCATATGTATATACAATGGTAGATAGGCGCTCACTGATCAGTTAGGGAACTCACCCATCCCATTGAGCTCGCTCTAGAGCCCAACCAGCAGCCGCTCAACCGCCCGCATGTTATACGCAGAAATGCGTTACCGACAAAGACTAGGGGTATTGGCCATTTCTGGCTTGTTAGCTGTCATTAGCCAGTCATACGCAACCTCGGGGTTAGTCGCCCCCGAGCTGCAAAACCGCGACCTTGTTAATTTGAAATTCAACGTGCGCCACGGGTTCGTTGCCCTGCCGATTTCGATCGAGAATGTGCACCAAGGTAAATAGGCTTTCACCGATTGGTTACCGAACTAACTTGAAGCTCATCCCCGAGCCCTCGCAGGCACTTAAATGGCCGCGAAAAGTATATGCAAAAGTAGGTGCAAGTAAAGACGTGCATATTTTTCGTTGCCCTTTCCGGAATTTCGTCATCCTAGCCCACCACCCCTCTTGTTCCCTCTAGGTTTCCGTTCTCTGAAACCACCCCTAAAAATTGTTATGAAGAAGGAGGCCGAAGACCGCGCTGACAATCATCTGCCGTCCGTGATGACCTGTCAGAACTACCTCAAGTTGCCTAATTACTCAACAAAGGAGATTATGCGCGAAAAACTGATCTACGCTATAAACGAGGGCCAAAACGCATTCCACCTCTCCTAGTGGGCCCTATGCACTCCATCCCCTCTGCTCTCGCTGCCCTGTCACCCGCGGGAGCCCTCTATGCTTTCGCTCCCCCCTCCCCTCCTCTTTTTCCTTTACTGGCTGTAATTTACACGATAGCATTTTATTTCCTCTTCATGCTGTGGCTGCATTGGCAATCTCAAGGATAAAGCCTGCGCCAGCCCTTCTCAACCCCCTACCCCCTGTCCAGGGATCCGCATTTTGTCATCCCGTCACCAGCCGCCCCACTCCCAGTTTTGGGACATAAGACCTCATGGAAGTGTCTGAGACGTCTTTCGGGTTTCGCCTTCCTTCACTTCAAGGAAACGAGACAATGCCTATTCTTGTTTACTGAAGCGCACTTTAGTTTTTTTCTTCTGAATTTGTCTCATTACTGTTATTCTTATTGGCGTTACTGAAACTGCAACCGCCGCCGCCACTACTACCACCGCTAATCACAACATCTTTGCTTAGCACTGGCTGGAAGTTGCTATGACGTCTGCCAATTCTAACCACATACATGCCTATACATACACAAAGTACCTGCACGCAAGCGTTCGCTGCAACATAACCTCTGCCACAAAACTCGTAATTTTTGGTCTTTAAAATGTTTTCAATCAGTTCGTCTGACTTTCTCTATGAACTCAGGGGCTGCTATGGGTGGGCGGAGTAAGTACGTCCGAATTTTAGTTTACCTTTCTCCTGTCATTCCCTCCGTTCTAGGTACTATGCGAATGTCCGTAGATGATCCCTTTTGGTGCGTTCCATTCAATTTGATGGGAGCTAAAAGCTGTCTTGGGGCGCTCAGGTAGTCTTCTCTGCTCTTCAAAACGCATTTCACCAGCCTAGAATACAGGCTTTGAGTGGAGTCTGCTTTGGTGGTATTCCTGTCAGAGAGTGGTCAGAAAGAAACCAAATTTCTGCTGAGTATCAGATATTGATCATTATTAGTCGTGGACTGGCGTTCGTACTGCTCTTCTTGCACAAGCGATGATTACTTCTCTGTCCTTTTGTCTCCTGGGCGGGTTCAATCAGTGTCCTCGGCCCTTAACAATCCGATTGTCCAGGTACCTGGTTAAAGGGTTGCTCAGAGGACGTTGGTTGCAAGAAGCCTTTTCAGCGGGGTGGGTTCCTGTTACCTTTATGTTCCGTCAGGAAAGCCCTGTTGCCTCGGGTAGCTTCTGCGTTCATATATTGAGGGCTTCGGTCTTTAGCCCCTGGTGGCCCTATTTATGCACAGTCGAGATAGAAAAAAATATGCAAGGATATAAAGACAGCATGAGGTCATGGGTGAGGTCTACCGAAACATTATTGCAGCAAATATACAGTGGTGAGATTGATATAAATTGAAAACATGAAGTAAAGGTCACAACTGGTCGGAGATAGTCCTATAGTAAGAGTCGTCGGTTATCAAATTTAAGCAATCTACCTGCCGTTTGAATACACCAACAGTATCCGACGTCGCTATTTCACATGGGAGGGGGTTACACGGTCGAACCACCCACTGACTGAAGGAAAGCTTAAGTGGATCTAGGCGCGTACATTCAGGTTTGACCTTGTGCGGATGGTCGCGCAGGTGAGTCATGTTTGTAAGCTCTTCGGATTTCAGCGAACAGGCGTGTCCGTGGATAATACGGAATATTCATAGCAGGTAACACCCGAGTTGTCTGTGGTATAGGGGACACAAATTTTGCTTAACCAATCTTTCGGAATTAAACAGTCCTAAGACCGTTCACCGGTTTCTTTGCACGTCGTTGCCCATCCCTGATGGGATTGCTGCCTTTCTTCATCCATGCTGACATTCCGTATTGTAAATGGGGTCTAAAAAACGTACTGAACATCCTCGTAAACCTTTCGGGAGGAAAGACCACGAAAACACGCCTGGTGCAGTATATGGTTCTCATCGTCATCTGAACGGCCTTTTAGAATATTCAGGGAGTAGTAGATTTGAACCTGTCAAAATATCGACTAGGTCCTTGTGAGTGTCCGCTTCTGTTGCTGGAGTCCTGTTTATAGAGTACTGGTGTTTGAGGAAACTCATACGCCCAGATTCTGGGTGTAAGAATGCACATTCTAATATATGAAAGGTCGGTGTATCAAAGTTTTCTTGTAAGTTCTGCGCATTGTCGGCATAGCCTATAGCTTTCCAAATTTCAATATCTGCAAACATGCTGATATCACAATTCAGATTCTCAATGCAGCCGTTTATATAAAGGAGGAACAGGAGAGGGCCTAAACCTGAGCCCTGCGGACCAAAACTTTCTACTAGTACCTATCCGGATCCTTTGGTACCAAAAGTTACCTTTTGCAGCTTGCATGGCAGGAAACTTTTGATCCACTAGGAAGCGTTATCTTAGATACCATCTTGCCAAATCTTATATAAGAGCCGGTGGTGTGGTACGCTGTCACAACGCCTTTTTGAAGTAGCGAAAATGATATCAACTGGGTGACCCCGATGTGTGTGGCTTTTGTCCGTTTGCTTGCAAATAAAGACCACTCGTAAGACGCGAGTTTCTACTGCAAAACCATGCTAGGTCAGGCATAATACGCTCCTTTGCGTTTGAGGGAGTTGAACTGCATCTCCGTGCCTATTGCAGCAGGCAGCGCAGAGGGACAGGACTACTGACCTAAAAACCGTGTCTGGCCTGTGAAGAGGAGGACTTCTGCTACCTGTGCGTGCCCCGAATGCTTCTATAAATCCATGTGTGCCTTCGGGGGATGTCTGGTCATTCGTAATCCTGTTCATGGAACCAGGGACTAGTAAGCGGTGTGGAGCGTCTTGTGGGCGCTCATTGCTTCCTCTTGAAGCGAAAACCTTCGCGAGGTTATGCTCGCAGAGAGCTCCCGGGTTCTCTGGGTTCAACTAGGCACGGGCAAGGTTCACGACTTGGATAAAGCCAGTTCTGCATAGGACGGTGTGGCGCGGTCGCACTCCTTGTTCCGGGTTCTTGTCGGTAATTAAACATGACTAGAATAAGCGAGAGCTGGGAACTACCCTCTGGGAGGCTTTTGACATCACAGTAGTTGTCATTTTCTGACATGCCCCCTGCTCGACCAACTCCAATTTTCGAATATTGAGGTATTGCTTAGGATCGCGACGACTGCTTGATTGAGATGCATTCGCGATCGTTCCAAGTATTGAAGAGGGGTGACGTGCACTCGACTTATTCACATAGGTCGATAGTACTCCAGGCCTGCATGAGGTGAGCCACCACGGTCTGGGTTCAAAGCGGCGAGTTCAGAGTAGAATAGCGATTCGTTGCTCCGTCTCGGCCTCGTTTTCCTAGTTTTGTTGGAGGCAAGGCCACCTAAGGACAACTGGTGATGCTGAGCACAGTGACTAAGTAGGGATTTAGTACTGGACTAGCGCCTGCCACGTAAGCCTTCTTTTCAGCTAAGGTCAGACCTCCATTTTGAGGTGAGTCAGTCCAGCGAACAAACCATGGGAGAGGCATGCGGAAAGCCTCCCTCGCGTAAATTAATTCCGAATTTTCTGCTAAAATCGTCATTGTTTAACTCTCAGTGTGGCCGGTGGTGTTTCGCCGTGTGACCTGGGGATTGTCGTTGTAGCTGCGGTGGAACGCCTACCAATGACCCGGCTCTGTGAGGAGGTGCTATGCTGTGCGAAGGAGGTGAGGATTTAACGCAATTTGCTGCTCATACCTACGAAACGGGCCATGAGATGAACTTCACCGCTTTCAGGGTACTTGCCCACGCCGGAAACAAGAAGAGCCGAGAATCGATTGACGCTTGGTCCACGGATGGGAATTCAATCAATCGATTCGGTGCAGTCGCACGGTGCCATGCGCAGTCATCTCGGACGTGCGTCGCTTCTGTTGTTGTTGTTGTTGTTATCTCTGATGCTTAACATCTGTTCGAGATTTAAAACTCAGAACAATAAGCCAATTGTTCGGATGCTTTACTCAGGATTTGCTTTCTATCCCAGTGGAATTCGAATTAGTTCATTTTTAGTACATGACATGGAAGAATTAAAAATGAACTCTCAGATTTTCAGTTTCTTTAGAAATTAATTTCTGTTCTCGGTATACATCAGTATATTTAAGGTCTATAAGCACCGATCGAAACTTAATGCAAATATTTTTGCCTAACTGTGTAGTATACACACACTGCCAACAGGCAGACAGTTGTAGTATATATTGTTATTGTAGCTTACCATACTAATAGCCCAGGTACTAGCTAAGAGGCCCACACAATGTTTCGTCGGTATTCTGCCGCTGATTGACACAGCCCCGAGGGGTCCGGCTCTTTAGTGAGTCCGCCAGCTTTCCCTGTTTGCTTTCGGGTTGATATACCGGTTGTAGAAGTTCGGCATCCGTATAAATGAACTACTGGATATTTTCTTATCAGACATTTGCGCTGAAGAGCGCAGACAAAAATTTGAGGCAGGTATTCTTCACCCACAAGTGTCGAACCACTGTGGTTAACGATAGCTAACATGACCGCCTAAGCTCGACTTGGGAATAGGAACGTCACGTACAAGAAGTAACTTTGGTCCTGCGTCTATCGCCGGTGCGATCTTCAGGTCCGGTTCCGTAGGAGAAGGAGAAGAAATGGGGGGGCCAGCACGGAAGGAGTAGTGCGCTTTGATGCCAATACAGAGGAATTGAAGAATATGTAGGGGGAAGGTGACTATCGGACGAGCATATATCTGCACCCGAGCGGAACAGAATCCGAAGTATGCGAGCGCAGGAATCGTCACAAGCGCCTACACTGCGGTTTTTGTATGAGTCAGCCTTGAAGGTGATTGACCAGACCAGGGTGAGCTGACATTAGTGCGTGTGCACTCGTTTGCAGCAGTGACCGTGCGCGCGTGAGCGTCCTCGCGGAGGGAAGCCACTACACGTATACTTCCGGGAAGCTTAAATACTCCCTAAGCCTATAGGTAGTACTAACCTTGACTCGAAATACCATCATCACCCCCGTGGTGCATTCCTTGGGGTCGAGCAGTCTGTCCACATCAAGCGCTCCTAGTCCGCGTA